AGAGCTGCAAAAGCCTCACGAGGGATCGGCACCATTTCCTCCCAGGCACCCCAGCAGAGCCAAGCTTCGGGGAGTTTGAGTGCGTGTGTGTGTGGGGTAATACTCAGAAAAGGGAAAAGGAGGGGCTACATTTCCTTCCCACTGCCGTATTGCAGCCACAAGACCTCCTGCAAAACCACACAGCTTTTCATTTTCCATCAGTGATCAGCTCCTAGGAGGAGGCACACACTACTTGGCAGCCTTGTTGCCAGAGCTGGGAAGTACAATTGGTCCAGTTCAAAATTCCAAGGTAGAAAACCAAGCTCTTCTAGCACTCCAGTACAGCCAGAGAGCTACCTTTGTACTTTCTCTATGAAAATAGAACTTATGCTTGCCTGATTGCTAAAGAAAAGGCATTCTCAAAGCCCAAACAGATCTTGTCTGTAGTATTCCATTTGCCTTTTTTTCCTGGGGAAAATTTCATATTATCATGAGACAGAAAAGAAACAGCTCATGAAATAGTAAAACACCAAAATGCTTGCAAGGGCTTCATTCAATACCATTTCCCTTTCAACGTTCCATCAGGAGATCAACATGATGGAAGAAAAGAAAATCAAAGCGAAGGTTGAATCACCCAGCCCACGCAGCAGGTCTTCTGTTCATAGCCGAAAGGCACTTTGGGAAACTCACCTGCAGGGAATGAATCTGTGTACTGGACCCAGGAGTTGTTCACCTCATCCGAACACCTCGCAGCGATGGCTCCCGGTAGTCACTCCTCCCTTGGGCACACCTGGCCCCAAGGCCTGTTTCTTTGGCAGCTTATTGCAAATAACTCCCAGATGTGCCATTTACATCTGCGCTCTTCTCTTTGACCACACCAGGAGGGAGAAACTCACTGCCGTCCTCCAGATCCTGCAGAGCACCAGCACACGATTTGCAGTCAGCAGATTTCTCAGAGGGCAGACAAAATGAACTTAACACGGAGGCAGAGAGGTGAAGCCCTCGATAGTTCAGTTACACTATTTTTCCCAGCAGCCTGCGTTTGAGCTCCAGCTGCATTTTATACAGTTACTACAGTGTAACTCTCCAGCTGGGTATGCTTCTTCCAAGCATTTTTTCACTCATGTAATGTACAGGTTTGGTTTAAAGAGTTTAAGGAATCTTAAAACCTCTATTAGTAATTGGAAGATCAGTATTAAAAATAGTCACTTTCATCAATTACACAGGTGAGCAGTCTACACGCTGAGAAAATGAAAACTAACTACAAGGAGATCATAAATACAAATTTTATATGGAATTTCAGTAAAAATACCCATAGTAAAAATTTGTAACATTTTTGTATAAAAGACAATTCCGCATAACATCTGCACGAAGAAAGCCCACATAGCAAGTGTGGCCCAGCACGGGTGCAGCAGATACAAAGTGTTTCAAGACGCAAGTACAATTTTCACACAGATCTTGAGGACAGAAGTTTTCAAAGGCTGTAAGTATTCCTAGCCTCTTCAAAAATCAACCCACTGGATTTTCTGAGTGCCTCGCATTCCCATTCAGATCCACTGCAGGGACTGGTTTTCAGAGTGGCACACATCCCGTTTGAAATTTAAGTTGGTTCTCAAAAAATCTGAAGTAATTTTTGACAAGCAGCTCTAGCTTACAAGCCTTACAGCCCCATCCTTAATCAAAACATTTTCAACAGCGTTAGCAGCAGCTTCTCCAAGGACATTCTGTCTACAGTGAGGTTGCAAGAACAAGTTCCATTTGTTAAAATTCATTATAAAAGAACAGAGAGAACACAACACTCAGGCTGCATAAAAGGTTGATACCAACCTTTTTTGGGGGGGAAACATGCCAAGTTTAATACTATTGTAATAGTCTAATTAGTACTATACTGGCATGATTCAATTAACATGTTTTAGTGGGAAAAATCCCACGTTACTCAAAGTTGA